GGCAGAGCCGCAGCCGGACATGCTGACCAAGGGCTGACCCCTCGCCCCGGCCGGGTCACGGACCCGCGGGATCATCGGGCACCCCCCGGCATGGAGCCGGCTCCCGAGGTGAAGAGGTGCGTGGGGTTTGGGGATCGGGATGGGGTTTTCCACCTGCTGTCTGTGTCACTGTGTGAGAGGGGAGAAGCAGCGGATGCGCCCGAGCTCTGAGAAGCATTGGGTCTAAGCAGGGAGACCTTGAGCCCCTCTGCAGCCTAAATTTAGGAATAATGCACTTTGTGAGTTRTGAAGATGTTCTTGCAATTTGTGTTCCCAGAAACAACTTTTTCAACATAAAGGGCTGCATCGCTTAAAGTAATATTGTGAATTCCTAGCACCTAGTTCTGTTCGTGGAGGAAGAGATTTAACCTTGCTGACAGGGAGCTCAGTCTTAGCTGAGAGCCACGGGCATCCTGCTTGGTCCTGCYGCTGGGTATTGATGCCCTGGGATGGACAGCACCAGCCCAAAATGTTATTTATAAGTTTTAGGTTCTGGTCTGGATTTTAAGCCAGATTTTGGAGGAAGTCTGTKTGTTCCTGTTTCACCTTCCCAGCARCAAGTGTTAATCAGTCTCAGAATCTAACCCCTGCCTAGGGAGAAATGGCAAAAGTGCCAGTGGAAGAGATCTTGGCATCATCTGTGCTGGTGAATGCTTGTGCTGAAGTGTGTCTAGGTCTCCTGGCAGGTCTGCTGGCATGGCTGGAAACACTTGACCGGTCAGAAATTGAGTTCATGTCCAGAGTTGTTTCTCCCTGCACAGGAAAAGCCACACTGCCTTTCAGCATTTTAGCAGGAGATGTACTCTGAAAACCATTTTGCTGTTCACCCAGCTGAGGGGACAAAATAGCCCTGTGTTTTGATGGGCAGAGATGGAAGAGGTCAGAGGGATGAGTGGAAATTGGAGGGACTGGCCTGTAGCCAAGCTGGAGCTCTTGGAGGAGGGCTGAGTTCTGGCTTCTTCCTGCTGAGCTTCTGAGAGGTCTTTCCTGGGGAAAGGTGAGGTCAAGGTGCTRGAAGAGAGACTTTGATTACCTCATGGAAGCTGGGTTACGTGGCTTTGGCACTGAACTCAGATGAAATCAGCTGCTCTTGCAGGKCTCTGACAGTGCCCCAGCGTGTCTGAGACTTCTGAGACATCTGAGCCTTTCCTGCCTTCACTGACCAAAGCAGGGCAGTATTTTCACGTGGTCACTTCCTTGCTGCATGGCCAGCACAGTCATTACAAATATGTGCCTCAAAGCAACACTGCAACACCCCCTTCTTTACTTTTCCACCTCCTGCTTTGATTTTCCTTCACTTGGGATTTTTTCCTTGGCAGAGGAGACAGTTGGGCTGGGTCTGCTATGTCAGGCTGCTTCTCCTGAAGCATTTTCCAACAGCAAAGCCTTGGTGTGTCCAAGCAAAGGTTGTACAGGACATCAGCCCAAAGATTTGCTGTGCATCTCGATGCTGAAATGTATTTATCCAGGAGGTGATTATTCCGTTTGCAGCCTCATCCCAACCCTTTTTTTTTGCAGAGGTGAGGTCCTTGCTCTGATTTAAATTCAACCCTTCCTTTTGCCAGTGGCTCCTCATCCCTGTTTTATGTATCAGGCACATTGTTAAAGGAAAATGAAGAAAGGAAAATGGGAAATGAAGAAAGGAAAATGGGAAATGAAGAAAGGAAAATGTCAGTGCACTGGCTGGTTAATGGTTCAGCAGGGGTACACAAACTACCACAGCACATCTCAGACAAACAGTGCAGCACAGGTCAGCTGTGGGTGCCCCATCCCTGGCAGTGTCCAAGGCCAGGCTGGACAGGGCTTGGAGCATCCTGGGGTAGTCAAAGGGAGCTGGAATGAGATGAGTTTTGAGGTCCCTTCCAACCCAAACTGTTCTATTGACTCTAGGATTCTGGAATTCTGTGACTATGAGCAGCTACAAAGAAGTTTTGGCTTCCTCTGGTAAAAAAAAAAAAAAAAAAAAGAACAAAATAAATTATTGATTACCAGGAGAGGAAAGTTTGTCCTGGGGCATCTTCCCTTTGTTCTGCATTTTCAGTGCAGCTTCAAAAATGCATGCAGGTTCTTCAAATAACTGAAGTGCTATACTTTCCTTACAGGAATAGTTTCCCCAGCATGAACTTTGAAGCAGAGATTCTGACAACTCCACACGATAATTCAGGTATTTGGGAGTTAAAAAAAGAAAAACAGAGATTAAAGAAAAATACCCACTCAGATTGCTATCACTACAAACATATTTTAATTCTTTTGGAGTTAGAGATGGCTTAAAAAAAAAAAAAAAGGAACAGGGTGGTAAATGGACTGCAATTCAGGTGATTTCAGGCTTCTGTTAGAGTTCAAAGTGCTGAGGACAGACATTGATATCTTCACCTCCAGTAGGGGTGGACCAGGAGCACAGCTGCCAATGTGATTTTGGGAACAGCAGAGGCATTTGAGATCGCACTGTCCTGGATGAAACATGCCTAATTTTGTTATTAGTGGTGACTAAGAGCAGGTGATAAAAAAGCAGCTCCTTGAAATGCAAAAATGAGGATGAAGATGTTCATCCTCATGTCATTCAGGGGAAAAAGCTGATTATTTTCCCCACCAAATGATGCCTTTTCAGCAGTGATCTTGCAGATGGAGGTGATTGAGACAGACTCAGAGCTGCAGAGCATCTTCTCACCTGGTCCTGCCATTGCTCCTCAGCCCTGAGCAGCTGCCAGATCCTGTGCCCTGAATTTAGGATGGGACAGTGAGAAAGGGAGACTTTGCAATAATTCCTTGAGTATCCCTTGGTTTTGGCTCAGAGAGACAAATCTTGGTGTCAGCCCCCCGCATTTGAACAGGAGCCCATTCAGATGAAATGTTTTGCCATGGATTGCCCTCCTGGCCATGAGCTGCGGTTCCCAGCAGAGAATTCTCCTCTCAGCCCATTTCAGAGTCACAAAGGAGATGCACAGGGCTGGTTATTTTTGCTTCAGTTGCAGGAGGCAGTGTTTGTGTTGCATCACCCTCCTGGGATGTGTGCCCATCTCAGTCACACTGTCCAGCACGGGCACGAGTGACTGCCCCAAGGCTCAAACCTGCTGTGGGATTCCCTTCACCTCTTTAATCTTCAACAAAACCCCCCAGTGCTGTCCCTTCCTGCAAACAGAGGGCCCCACATCTGGCTCAGGGAATTTGGGGATATTTTCCTCAGGCTGACCTGTAATGATGAGTCACTTCACAAACATGCTGGTGTSAAAGGCTAGCCAGGAATAATTTTTGAACCCCGAGTGTGAGCAGGTTGGAAAGTGCATCCTCTGCATCGTTTTCCCCAAATCTCTGGCTGCTGTTGGGTTGGGCTGGATTTCTCCTATGAGGTAAGAGCTTTGACCCTTCTCATGCCCCAAAGCCACTGACATGCAATCCATGTTTGCCTCCCAAGAGCTCTACGTGTTCCCTGCCATGAGAAGCCTCACGGCTGAGGAGTACGTGGAGGCCTTTAAATCATTCCTGGATCACTCGACAGAGCATCAATGCATGGATGAGTTCAACAAGGAGCAAATGCCCGGCATCCTGGCTGGGTAAGAACCCCTTCCACTGAGCTGGGAAAGCCATCTGTCACCCTGGGAGGGCAGAAAAACCTTTAAGGGTTTTTTTGGGGCAGGAATGAACTTTTAATGCTTTTCAGTTTAAGTCCTCTAAGAGAGGTTTTTAGGATATTCCGTTTAATGGCTGCACAGCACGTGCTGTTTCAATTAACACACTTATGCTGAGGAAAGAACCAAGACCTCATTCTCATGTCCMTCTCTTTTCATGAGCKGATTTCCCGRGGATTAAARTTGTGGGGTTTTKGTTGTTTGTTTTTTTTCCAAAAGAAAGCCCTCTTGTGTTCTCTCCCTGCTTTTGGGACTTCATCACATCCACCCAAACAGGAACACATCTMTAATTCTCTCCTAGTGGCTAATTTTCAGCTTTCCCAATCCCATAAAACCTCCTTATTTCTATCCTAAGTCGATTTGCATTGCTYAAGTACCAAATGATAATCAGTTTTGGAAAGTATTGGTGTAATATCTTAAGACTGAATAAGTGCAGATATCTTCAGAGCAGCCTAGATCCAAAACCACAGGAAAGCCCTTTCAAGTCTGGATAACTTTTGGATGTTACAGGAACTGTATTCTCCATTGAGAAAAAWAAAAGTTTAGGTAGGCATATTTTTAAACTGCAGATCAAATTATACATAAAATAAGCAAGAAAATAATAATAATTAAAGATTGTGTTTAGAAATTTTGATTGTGAATTTAAATCCTGCAGAACACTGTGACTTTCTGTGGGCTGTTCAAAGGGTCTTGACCCTCACCAGGGCTAAGGCTCCTGGATTTGCTCACACCCTTCAGGATTTGATGCTCATTCCAATCACTGCTGTGGTGTCTCCTGTGTTTGGGAACTCAATCCCCTGGCACAGACCATGCCTGAGAGCAGAGTAAAGCCACAAATTGTGTCAGAGCGCGGCTGTTATTAAATATTCTACCAGGAACCATGTGACTGGAGTCTTTGAATAAGTGATTTTTCTAAGATAAAAATTCTGATYTTCCATCCAATTCCAAACCAAGATTAATGTTGATAAGAGATGATTCCCAATCACCTGGAYAGCCTGATGGTTGTACTTTCTCTGGCCATTTGTACCCAATAYTTTCTCCAGACGGTGCAGAGGTTTTTCCCTGGCTCACCGTCCCCAGCAGAGCCATCCCAGCCAGGTACAGCCCCTTTGCCCTGGGRTTCCCAGAGGCCTTTTTGCACAGTGCCAGCTTGAAGAAAACTCCTTGGCAAAGGGTGAGAAACTCTACACCCTGGTGCCTACTGTACTTTGAAATAGGAGCTGCTCCTGCCACGCTGGTTATCACTGGACTCCAAAGGAGCACTCAAATTTCTATCCCAATTCATGTGCATGACATGAAARTTTCCAGGCCAAGGTGTCATCCAASCTACAGGAATGAAAACATGAAGATGTGTGACATGGTGTGGTTTAATTGTGTACATTTATCCTTTCAGTCTTGGCGCTGGAAAATCGACCATCAGCGTTCTGGGAGTTGGGAGTGGCACAGGTGAGGAGTTTGGGGATGGGGGTGAGAACTGCTCAGGCATTAATGACAGCATTTCTCATTAAAGCAGAAAAGGGCAGGAGGAAGGGAAGGAGCCAGGACGAGAGCAGGGCTCCTTCCCTTGCTTCCTTCACCATCTCCCTGCTGAAACACTGCTGCTCAAACCTTTCTGGGCAGTGAGATATGTGGGATTTCAGTTTAGTGCTCAAACCTTTCTGGGCAGTGAGATGTGTGGGATTTCAGTTTAGTGCTCAAACCTTTCTGGGCAGTGAGATGTGTGGGATTTCAGTTTAGTGCTCAAACCTTTCTGGACACTGAGATATGTGGGATTTCAGTTTAGTGCTCAAACCTTTCTGGGATTTTAGCTCAGTTTCTGCCTCTTGGGAACTCTCACCTGACTTTTTTTGCCTCAGTGTAATGACTCCTCCTTCTGGTTAGGTACAAAAGCATCTTCAAACCTTGTTGGAGRGAATTAGAAACATCACAGGGGTTCTTTCCACCCCAAATCTTGCCTTAGACTGTTCCCCATGAAGGGATCTCTCCTTTTGCTTTGCTTTGAGGGATCCCAGAGGCCAAGGCTGGGCAATGGCCTGCTCCCAGTATGGCAAAACCACCTCCCCACATTAGCATGGGACTGCATCAGCTTTTTCAAGGCATGTTTCTTTGTTATTGCTGTGCTTTTACCCAGTGATAAGCAGAGTTTAACTGCAAATKATATTTTTCCCCAGGGAGAAACCCATCCTTCAGAAAAACAGCTCTAAAGCTATTCTAAATGCTTTTTTTTTTAAGAAAAAGCCAAAACAACAAAACAAAAAAAAAGTGGTGAAACAGCCAACTTTGCTCCTAGGGAATCTGGGAGAAAATAAAGAGTAGAGAAAAGAAGCGGCAGTTTGATTTGTCAGAGTTTACTTCTGCTTTGAAAAGTATTTTCAGCTGAATTTTAAGTGCTAATACTTTCAAATGAAAGTATTTTTGTCACTGTTTTTTTTGGTTTTGTTTTCCTGAGTAAGAGAAAATTAGCATTTGATTGTTTTTTCCAACTGGGAATACGTTGGAGCATATGAGAAACCAAGCAGGAAGAAATCATTCAGTTCTCAATTACCCTCTGTTTTCATTAAGTAATATAAAACAGAAATTCTGACTCCACAAAAGCACAAGGGGAAAATGAACTTTTAGCACCATCCTTAATTTTCCTTATGTCCTTTTCAAAGGAGGTGTTAATGGAAAAATAAAAAATCTAAAATTCCCTGTGTTTGCTGGATAAGTGCCCCTTAAGTTTGTCCACAGATGCAAGAGCTGAACTTGTGGGGCTGGGCAGGGAGTGAGCTGGGATGGCACCGAGAAAAAGGTTACATCTGATCCCTGACCTTTTCAGAGGTGTGCTCTGGTTTCACAGAGCCCCCAGAATTAGTTTAGTTGATGAAAATATTAATGGGGATTAGTGGCCGACCGTGCATCCTGAAGGCTGTGTTGTGGTCCAAGTCAGGTTTGCTCACTCACCCCGTGTTTCCCCGTGGCTGGTTTAACTCTGGGCTGGAATTTGTCAGGTCCAGAGAGGTTCCAGCCCTGTCCCAGCCCTGCTGTGGTCACTGCTGAAGGGTTGCTGCTGGCAGGGCAAGCTGCAGCAGGGAAATTCCTGCCCTCGAGTGCTGTATTTTACTGCTTGATTTTGAAAACACCCTGGTGGAGGATGTTATTACCAGTTTTTGCAAACACTGGATTAAGGAATTTTATGGAGATGGAGTGGAAAAAAAAAAAAAAAA